AGGACCATTATTGAGCACTGTATTCTGAGACTGTAACTTCTTTATCTCGTGGACCCTTTTGCCATCTTTAAAGGGCTCCATAGAGAGCAGCACTATACTCATGATCAGATTATTTCTAAAGGAGTCTGGCTGAAGAGTACGTAGCTTGGAGAACAAATCATTTGCAAGAAAAGTGTCTCTTAGTGTTCAGGGGGTTTGGTCCAGTTTCTTAGCTCTTGGCATGAGACTTTATAGTAATAAGAAAATGGAGTGATAGCAACAAAACCTGATGCTCTTTTTGTGTCCTCCTGGGGTTACACAAGCTCCAAAAGGCAACAGAACATGGCTTGACAGCAGGACAATTTATAAAGTGAAGTGTCTTAAGTGATGTTCCCCAGAATCTGATTGTGAAATAAATGGTAATATGCTTACTCCATACTTGCTTAGTTGCCAGACATGATAGTCATTCCTTCTCAGAGTATAAAGTGATGTCTGCATTGCCAGGCACAGCAGGCTAATAATATTCTACGGAAAGCTAAGTTTCTGAATTTCATTAACTCTATCTGATTTTATTAGTTTCTTTTGTTTTTCTAGTACATTGGTAATAACTTAAATTGCATCCTAATATTTCAAAGTTGTGATGCTTGTCATGAGAATCCAAAGAGAAATGCATAAGCACTGTAATAAGAATCAGTCCAAAGACCAAGAAGTAGGAATAGGGGTATTTCGGCTCCAATGCAAAATTAACATGGTAGAGATTTGCTAATTACCTGTACACAGACATTCCATATTAAAGAAACCGAAAGCTCAGACTGAGCTTATTGGTATAATGGATATTTTACATGATGGCAAGTTAAGATCTAAGGTTTCAGGACTTGGAACAGTAATGATTAATGTAAATATCCTAGTTTTAATATCTAATAGTACAGATTACAATAGTCATATAACTAATATGAATAACACAAGATAAGTAAAAAGCTTTTGTTCTATTAAGAAAATACATTTTCCATACAGCATAATTTAGAAGTCTGATTCCCATTCATTATGTTGTCAGAGTAAACGGTTCAGGCACTAAAATGTTTAAATGAGCTATAGGAAAGATATTTTAAAGGTTGTTTTAATCTCTAGACATTGAGAAGCTAAATATTTAAGCAGCCACTAGACCTAATGTTTGAATTTTTAACTACTATTGAACTTCAAAGACAGAATTACAAACTCCAGTCATAAACTTGAGCTTGTGATACATCCTCAACTTCACTGCGTTGAAGTTTCTGTACAAACTGCAAATAATAATCATACAATGTAAGTATTTAGCTACCTTATAAAAAAATAGCTGTTGGGGGGATAAAAGGAAGCTTTTCTAATGTACTTAAATAGGTAAAGTAAGTAGTTCTAGTGTATTTAAATAGGGAAAATAACAAGTATAAAATATGTTTGCTATGATTATGAAAGACATCCAAAATGTTCTATAGAATCAGATTTATAGTATGTCTGTCTGATATAATAGTTGAGGAAACTAATTGAATTCCCAGATAAGAAATGGAGTTCATGATTACCTGTTGTACTAGATTGAAGATTGTCTGTTCTACCTATAGTGGGGCAATGTAGAAGTTGAGTGGCTTGCTTAGCATTATCTGTGTGCTCCTCTGTCTCACCTCTGTAGTTGATTTTGAATCTGCTGGTGTGATTTACCTCCCTTTTACTAGTTTCTAACTTTCTTGAAGGTGATTGGAGTGAGTGAAAGTTTATTAATTGTAAGAGACAAACTGTTAAAAATTATTACAGGATCTGGGTCATCACCTTGAAGCACTTGAGACTCCACAGTGGTGGAGAGGGGGCCTTCTCTATATGGGTAAGTGGAAGAGGTAGAAAATGACTTAATTCCTTGAGGTGATGAAGAACACAGAAGCAAGAAGGTAGATGAGCTCTTTTCAGTGAACAGAAAGAGCCAGTTTGTGTAGGTTGGAAGGTATGACCGGTGAGGAGCTGTTAGACTCAGGTATAACAATACATAGAAGTTATACACAGTGTTAAAGACAATGAGCCAGAGAAACCCAGTTTGACTGTAGTTTTCAGAGTGAGTTGGCAGAAGGTCCATTTGTTAGAAAAGAAACATCTTTTTTACTTGTAAATTGAGCAAATTTAGTTTGAGCATAATTGAGAAACAGTAATTACAGAATCTTACAATGCCCGTTTTTTACAATCACTATTCACAGTAAGCTCAAAACAAAAGAACCCAAAGCAAAAAGAAACTTTTTCCCAAGCTGTGAACATAGAATTTCATGCTTCCATGGCAAAAGTTGCTTGCCGATTTATCAAACCCTGGGGAAAAAACAGAGATGGGCCTATAACTATCACTATGAACTGTGAGTTGGTTATAACACAGTAAAAAATGGCATTATTTTTTATAATTGCTGAGATCAATGATTTCAGAATGCTCTTAGAATGTCAAGAAAATGGCTGCTTGAAGGAGGCTTATGATGGTTGTACAGCGTGTGGGCTGTAGTCCTAGAGCCGTGTTTTCTGTAAGCTATTACCAGTAATCAAACGAGATGGTAACTTTAGGCATGTGTTACTGGGAGGAAATTTAAACTGAAGAACAAATGCTGTCATGAATTTCAATACACCAAACATGCAACTCCCCCGACTGTATGTATTGATAATTTTACAGTATTTTCTTTAGAGGTATTACATGGTTCTCGACAGTGAATTATAGGTACAGCAGTGAGAGCCTGCATCTGCTCAGGCTCACCTTGGGCTGGAAGCGCTGGCAGGAAACCCTGTGGGGCTCAGCAAGGCCACGGAGCTCCCACCTTGCTTAGCAGACAGTCTGATGTGAAAAATGCTATATGCAATCTCAGCACCTGTTTTGTCCTTGAGATGCAGTATATTTCCACATATCACTTCAGAATATGAGTAAGACTGTTCATGGGGTTTAGGTTTTTATTGGGGGAATATTTTGTTTAATAGTTTTTCATTTTTTGTAAGTGTATTTGAATAGCTTCATGTAAAATAAGCAGATGTGCTCTATTGTAATTGCAGTTACAATGTCTGCAGTATTATGGAAATGATTGCAGGGTTTTTTTTTAGCTAAAAGAGAAAAAAAATGAGTCTGTATTGCCAGTGATTTATATTTCTAATTTTCAAACTTAACTTTACGTAGTCAGAACTTCTGCTTTTCTTTTAAGCTGCTGCTATGAAAGAGTCCTCAAACTTGGTTCGCAGAAACTATAAAGTCATTCAGGGCAATGAAAGATCTTGCTTTTTTAACCTTTCAGACAGTCACTCAGTTGAGCAGTCAGGCTGTATTATTCTATATCTTGTCTAACATGAGGAAACAGTCCCAAAAGAAAGATATCCCAAATTAACGCCACACTTCGTTAAATAGAGACATTCTTGGTTTTCACCAAGCTAATTCGATCCAGTTCAGTTAACCCATTTTTTTTGTACTCGGATCACGAAAGGCAGCCATGAATGAAGCAAGTTCATCATGTGTTTGACACATCAGTGTGAAACTAAAAGGCGGGCTGGGGGGGAGGGTTCCTGCCTTTAGCTTTTTAGACAATACCCGATGAAAGAGGCCCCTCATTCAAAACTGGTCTCCAGCAAACTGCTGCGGATCACTGTTACAAACAGGTATAATGGGAATTAAGCAGAACTTGATTCAGACACCTCTTGATTTCTAGTTGTGACTGTTTGTGTAATCCAGTCTTTATCTAATATCTTCAGTCCGGCAGATGGGTCACGGACTTCTCTATGAGCAAAAGGCTACCTGCTTCGGAAATGAAAAGTTATATGTAGATAAAAAAAATTAAAGTAAAAAAAAAATTACAATGTAAACAACATTATTTTTAAAACAGAAAAAAATTCGGTTCTCCATTTTACCTAATTTACATTTATAAATTGCATCCCTTCCACTTTTACACCCTATGTGTACGGCTTATATATATATATAGCTTATAAATTCAGATAGCAGTGATGAGCAGTCATAAAATGCATGTTCTTTACTTGAAGCTATCTTTAAAATAAATTTTAAAAGGATAGACATATATTTGTAATTCTCTGCATTATTCTCTGTCAACAGACATCACCCTTGACAGGCAGTACGTGCAATCTGAGCTAAATAGTAGATTCTGTGAGGTGATAGAATGATGTTTGCAATGATGCTACTAAGGACATAGTATTTGTGAGCCAGACCCAGATGTTCAGAGGGTTAGTTTTCTTTCCAATCTTGCTGTATCAAGCACATGAGAACATAGAGGAACTTATTTTTGAAGGTATTTGCTAATAGTTATACCAACCTGAGAGACAAGGGGACCGTTTCATAGGCCTGACACTGAGACAGTGCTGCCTTGATCAGTATCGACTGCACTTTTGTAGTTGAGGAAGAAAAGAATCTGAACACAACAACATCATGAAATAGCTTTGCTATTTGGGTATGTGAGAAAATCACCATGTTTATAAAATAATACATTATTTACTTAATTTTAAGTATGAAACAAATGTTGCTACAGAAGATGGCTTTTCAGCTCTGATTTAAGCTGGTGATCTCATTGGAATTTCTAAAGGACCTCTCACCTCTAGCAGCTGCTATGACAGCTGCGAATACATGTTAGTGTGCAGGATTTTGTTGTTTTTTTAACAGTCTCATCCCAGGACCTGTTTCCAGAACATTTCATTTACAGTATCACTTTCTGCTTAGAAGCTCAAGGTAAGTCTAGAGAGAAGAAAAGAAGTAGGGAAGCACAATCCGTAATGTCCTTTCCTGTCTTTCTTAATTATTCAAATTTTATTGCAAAAAGAATATGAAAAAAAAAAACAAAAAATTATGAACAATAATATATTAAAATTTCCATTATTTCTGAGTATTTTCCTGTTTTTCCTAAGTTCAACGAATCAAGAAAACAAATCATATTAAATATTTTATAGCTATATGCTGAATTGAGCAGTGTCATCTAGTCAATGCTTTGGTCTGATAAGCATGCAATGCTAATATTTGGGGTTTTGTTTTTTTCCCACAGTTTTAATGTGAATCCTTCTGGCATTGAGGACCTCAGGAAAACAGTGGTGAGTTCTGAAATGTTATGGAAAGCCATCAGTAAATGCCAACTAATTGGTGCTTGACAGTTCTTGTTTAGCCTCTTACAAGGACATGTTAGGGTTCTTGGTTTTCTTTTGAGGTATCCAGAAAATCTAATTAGAAAATAATAAGCTTAATACAAATTTGGAAATAAAGAAGAGTTTTACACTCAATATGCATTGTACTTCTGGTATGATGACGTAGAGAAGGGGAAAATTAGATCTTTGCACAGAAAGTAAGAAGAAGACCGTTGCTTTGGGGTATTTCAGGTGATTCTGGAGAAATAATAGTCAGGAACTCTGCATTTGGCAGTGATGTATTAATTGTCATAACAGGACATTCTTATCACTGTAGTCAGAGACTTGAGGACAGTCTTTAGATGGCAAGTCAAAATGGATGCAATGAACTGATATATGATGGGATTAATAATGCAAATGATTAATTAACAGCCTCTCAGAAAACACTACAAATAGAAATACGTTATTATTCAGAATCCTCTTTTGACTCTAAAAGTACCCAGAATGTAATGTGTACTAAGAAAAGACCGGAAAAATCCACAGATTTCCCAGGCAGTGTCTTTGTTTGAAGGAAAATGTGGTTTTACTAGAATTCGTTCTGTGAATAGATGAAATCTTTAAAACTAGGGTTTGTTTTCAATCTTTCAAATATATAGAAAACAAGTTTCACAAGTAAATATGGCTTTGTACAGTTTGCTTTTGCTGGTTTATGTGAATGATTTGTAATAACATTCGATGTTATTGTAAATGCCCGAGTTTTTATAATGTAAGTAAGTGGTGGGAGATGTCAGAGTATATGAAGGCTGCCTTTGATCAGATAGTAAACTGAATTCTACCAGGCAGTTACTTAATCTCTGACAAAAAGCAACATCAAAAAATTGATTTAACTTAGCAGCTATTGTCTGTAAAGTAACCATAATTACAGTTTCTGTGTGCTTGCAAATGTACTACTGCACATCATGTGATTTATTGCTGGTAGAAGCATCGGTTTAATTCTTTTAAGAAATAAGATGTGAATTGTTTTTTTTAAAGGATTTAAAGGTGATAAAAGAAATCCTTGATGATTTTTCCTTTGGAATACCAACTATCCTGAATGTCAGTTGTAGGATTAGGAGGTGGTGCTCATTTAATATGAAATACAAATTAGGTGGGGAAGAAACAATATCTCAGCCGTAGTTTTGAATGAAACCATTTGATTATTTTTTTTTTTAATATTCAAGATTCCTTTCTAAGGTGTTTGAAGTCATTTATTATTAGGTTCTGCAATAATAGCCCTCACCAAGTTGTTATATTTCTTCCTTGTGCATCACATTTAGTAATTATGTTTGTATGTCTTCTACTCTGGTGCCAACACCTGTCTCTGAAAGCAGTGTTTAAATGGGAGCAGTAACCAGTTGAAAGGGCAGCGTGAGCTCTTTAAGGCCTAATTAAGAACTGAAAGGAAGATGAAATAAGTAGGACAAAAGATGTGAAAGTAGCTTAGATGATATTCCCAGAGCAGAATTCCTCATTAGAACAATAAAGAGATGATCAGAGATTGCCAGGCCTTCGTTTTATCCAACTCCATTTCCTCCGGCTGTCAGTGTGTACCCTGTAGTATTTTGTAGCTGACACAATCGTTCTTTGCATAGATTTGTTATTTAAAAACTTTTTCTCCTTAATAATGCATTGTAAGATTAATGGTTTGTATTAAAATTATAGTATCTGGCTTTGTAAAGATGTGCCTTACACATTTAAGTATCACTTACTGGCTTGAACAGAACATCTAAATTCTTCTTAATTTGAACAATATTTATTTCTAGGTACTAACACTCTTTAACTCGAATTTTCTTGTGTAATTAATATGATAGGTTATTCCCCCTAAGGATCTATTTGGGGCATTTGTATGACAAAACGTCTTTAAAGCATATGGTTTGCACACAATTTTACAGTAAACTTTATATAGTAATTAAAGTCATCATTGTATCTTAATTTACGTTCCTTTGCCAAATCAGCAAATGAGGCAAACCCTATAGTTTAGCCATGGAAGTGTTAACGATGTCTTTTCTAATGTGTACAAAACTCTAATACCATAAAGAGACAATTCTACTTCCTTCTTGTAGAAGAAAATGTGTTAAAAATATAATGACCCCAAAGTGAATTTAGTTTCTCTTCAGTACTTGTTGGAAATCAATTACTGACCAATTAATAAATTTCATTATGAGCCATTTTAATAAAGTGGGAGTTATTAATCACAATCTTGTAACTTAGTAAGCTTACAATACTGAATACACGTACGTAAACGTGACATTACATATCTCAAACGCAGTGAGAAACCCTTAAAAGCACAGATATTCGAGAGCTACTGTTAGAATATGAGTGATGGAGAGAGGCTGATTGATGTGTCGTACTTCAGCCTATTTGCAGTTCACCATCACTTTTAATTAGGTTTATTTGAAAACTTTGGCCACCTGCGTTTTTTAATGATTCGACATATGCCAGTGTGCAAATATGGAGCTACTGTATGGAAAGAAGAGGAATGAAGCATGAAAAAGGAATGAATATGAGTTTATTATGTGGTGTGCTTCCTAGCTGTGAAAGCTTTAGCATTTTTAATGACAAGTTTCTACTGTAAACAAAAGCTATCTTATCTTCTTCTTCTGCCCTGTTAGAGGAGCAGGATTTTAGAGGTGAGATTAGTTTTACTTCATTAAAAGTTCCATATCTTTTAAATGTCTCCATTTCTGAATCAGATAAAACTTACTGCTTAGCACGTCTTAACAGTGCTACTTTGACTCTCCCAACTTTTTCCTCAGTTACACGTTTCCAAATTTTTCATAATATGGTTATTTCAGGTCAGAGCTAATTCTCTTGACACAGAATAAGACATTCAAGTTTATCTAGCCCTTTGTTAAGGCCACAGGTTTGTCCATCTCTGCTAATACCTGCACTTTCAAGTCATCAGAACTCGTTACAGAAAGAGTTCTGTTTTCCCTACTGCTCGATTCTGGTTCCCTCCTGATTTTTAAAGCAAGCAAGCAGGCAAGGAAGGTCTTTTAGTAGTACACATTTCTGTCTTAAGTGCTCTGGTGCAAATAAGATGCAGCCTTGTAGTTTTCACCTGAAGTTTAAAATTGAAAGGTTTATTACGTGAATAAGAGGCCATGTCCTGGAGAACCACTGATGACAGAAAATAGAATATGAAAGACAGATGAGGGCTGATGTCCTTTAGCGCTAAGTTTGCTATGATGTGCTCAAAAAGTGAGAACTTAAAGGAGTTACAGCAGGATGTGAATTCTCCGGGCTTTTTCTCTGGTCCTTCTATACTTAACTACATAGTAGTTTCCCAAAATGGACCTGCTTACTGTTCATGTGGTTACTGCTTTTACGTTCATTAACTGTGTGTACACCTCATAAAACAGTGGGGTTTTGAGATGATGGTGTGGGAAAACTTACTGCAAACTGGGAAAGCTATCTCCAGTTGTCTGCTCCAGTGGGGTTACTGGAGGGAACGCTATAGAGTAAGTGGAGTTATGTTGCCAAGAAGCCGCTTCTGTCAAGAGGTGCACATGAGAAACATATGAAAAGCATGAATTTGTTCAGAACACTGAACTATTTAATAAAACCTGGTGTTTTTTCACACTTATCTGTAGGATGGGAATCCTTTCGACGCCACTGCAGGATACCGTAACCTTACTTACGAAGAGGTTTTGCAGGAGCTGGTGAAACATAAAGAGCAACTTAAGAAGAAGGACACCCATATTCGTGAACTTGAGGATTACATTGATAATCTTCTTGTACGAGTAATGGAAGAAACACCTAGTATTCTCAGAGTGCCATATGAACCTTCCCGAAAAGCTGGGAAATTTTCCAAAAGCTAAGATAGTGAGACCTGATGGTACTTTGTGCTGAATACATTGCGTGAAGGAAATCACACTTTACCATTTTGTCTTCTCTTCATTCGTTTTCTCCGAAGAAATTCCAGGATGGGACTATGGCGTGGGATTCTTTGGTTTGTTTTTTACTCTAAACACTAGCAGGGCCTGCCAAAAGTAATATTCTGTTACATGATCTAACTAACTTTTTTTTATTATGATTATTTTTGATGAAACAGACCGCTTACGGTGGAGTTAATAATACACCTTAAATATGTCCATGCAGTTTATATAGTAGCTTAGTGTTCACCATGTGGCAGTTTCAACTGGGAAGCCTGTCTGTTATGAATGTTTTCTTGAGTGATTCTTGGTATTATGCGAATATATCAATTCTGATATTACAGCATGCCATCAAGACTGCTGTTTTCAAGCCAGTGTAGTACGCTTTACTAAACCTAAGTGCAGTTTGTTGCAATGGAATGTAGTTTGTTCTACACGTATTAGAGGAAAACAGTGATGCACAATCTTTGCAGATTAAATGCTGTATTCTATACAATGTGCTTTTTGTATAACAATATGAAATATACCATGCCATTCCAGTAATGGCACATGCTGGAATCAGTTATTTTACACTTAAATGCTGGATGTTGTGTGTAATGATTGAACTTTGGTAGTGAGCTCATGACATAAAGTTGTTTTGAGGATCTTTTTGTATGAAGTTATTGCATGCCTTTTTATATGTTAAAGTACTTTGAACAGTGTTAATAGAGTTGGAGGAAGAACTGGAGAAAAGTATGAAATAAAGATTCGAATACTTTGTTCAGTTAAAGACTACTACAGTGAAAATGTAGGAGAAATGAACAGACTGACTTAAGTAGACATGATAATTCAAAAAACATGGAACTGACTCAATTTAAGGTTGAGTTTTACATGATATATATCTGTCTTGGGTTTTTTAATCTTATGACAATGAAGTATATGCCCTTAGAAATAGGCGATGTTGCTTAAACATATATAGAGTACCTGAAAAGGCTTTTCATTTAAAAATACTCTTCTATCCCTTGTAAGTACTTCTAAAAGTCAGTTTTCATTGAGGCAAATGAGAGAAGAATGTAGTAAATGTCTTCCTGATCATTTAATAATTGTTTGTAAAATGACGTATGAAAAAGGTATCTGTTATTCAATAAATTGGCAAAATATAGTGCTGAATGTATAATGGGAGGATACCGCAGGAGAAAAATCCTCACAATGTTAAGATAAATAGGTCTCAATTTTAATTTTTCTTCCTAAGACCCTCAGTTGTCTGTTGCTGTGAAAGAGGAAGGTGATATTAAAAATGTACAGAGAATAGTTTAGATTTAGATACAAGAAAATTGATTCTCTTCTCCTCCTCCCCCCCCTCTTTTTCTACACTTGATCTGGTTTTGGTTTGTGTGTTTTTCCTTATAGCACCGTGTAATGGCTGTTACTGAGGAGGAAAAAAAAGCTTGAAATGAAATTCCATTTTTTTTTCTTCTAAAAGACCTAAATACTTTGTCATTTTTAAAACTGCACAAATTAGTAATGTCTTGAATATAGGATCTGGAAAAGTTAAAGAAGTTCTACCTGGATGCTTTTGATGATGGTGGTATTGTATGACAGTACAGATTTATTCTTCTTAGAAAAGAAAGACTTCTTTATAGAATTGTTCTCAGATTTCATTTACTTATTTTTAGCTTTTTTCTTCTTCTTTCTTTCTTCTATTTTCTTCTTTATTTTACCAGCTACCTCCCATCCCCCTAGTCCTGTGTCCCTAAAATGTATGCAGTCTGAGTGTTCCCAGCTCACCATTGGGATCCCTTAGCATAGATTATTGTGCCTGGATAGAGCTTGAGTTACTCAAGGCCTACCTACTTGTAGTGCTCTGTATTTAGATGTTTGTAGGACAGAAATGGGCCCGCTTCATTAGGCGGTCTCTTTTGACAGCCTAAGGATTTATCACGTTCGGTACCTCATAAGCCACCTGAATGTTCTTTTGACCCACTTAAGATCTAAATGACTGTAAATTTGTTGTAATATATTTGAAGTGCCAAAGGTTATGTACTAAGTTATGGTACGTTTACAGTTGGAAGTTAGGTTTTGCACTCTATTTGATTTCAATTTCCTAATTACACCAAGATGTATTTCAGTTACTCAGTGTTTCCATAAAAATTCTTAAACGTTTTCAAATGTTTGGCCAAAGCAAGTGGTTTTCTCGTATTGTTAGTGGGGAAGTGTTGCACAATTGTTTTGAATTCCACAGTCATTTTCAAACTCACTGGTATGAGGCCATCTGTAGTATCTACAAGGATTAAATCACACACCCCAATGGGGTTTAACAAGTAAACTAACCAGAGAATATGCTCCAATGACTTTTTCACTTGCAAGCCAACTTATAATTATTAAAATGAAACTCTACTATATTTAGCACCTCGGAAATGACTCCTTTTAGAATGTAAATGTAGAATATCAAACCGCATAATTGACTAAGAGCAGATCATTTGACATATTTGCATACCAACAACGATAAGCAGATTAAAGGTAGCGAAAAGATCAATTTTTGTGCATTAGTGAAGAAATTTAGTGAAGCTTTGAATGTGCTATCTAGTCTTTATCTGATCTGTACGTGAATAAAAGCACCTTTTGTTTCTAGCAGTTTGTCAAGAAAGGGGGGAATGACAAACACAGTTTAGGCAAAGGTAGAGTTCCTACAAGAGGCAGAATGGGACATTTACAGCTGTGAAAGATTACAGAGTTCTAGCTGAAGATATAGGCTGCTTTTGGAGCAATTCTGGAAAGGTTTATACACTTCATTTTCTTCTTAGAAAGAAAATTTTATCATTTTTCTATATTTTGAGGTTATTTTTGGAAAGCATCTTCACCCCACATGTATTTTTTGAACCACACGGCTTTCAGATGAAAACATTTCACACAGACTAATTGATAGGTTGAAAATAAAGTTCTGCTTCTCCCATAGGATAAAAATGTAAGCTTTCTTGCAGATCATTTTAAAACCAGAGGAACTTGCCACTTAGAGTCAGCCTTTCTTGCCCTTGAAAATATAAGGATGAAAATTTTGGACATGTCCATATTATTTGGATTTTTTCTCTCGACAGTTTGTGTAAGACTTCATCCATGCACACACTAGATTTGAAGTTAGCCTTTTCAACTGCTCTGCTCATAGCCGTGTGTTTTACTGACTTTAAGGAACAAACATGAAGGCCATACTGTAATGTTGTAAGTAACAACTTGAAATTTTCTGCCATTCAAGAAGGATGTTTAATATTTATATATGTTACCTCTTGCTGCTGTATATTATGTTTAGCTTGGTTTTCCACCTACTAATGAATGTAGCGTTCTCCCTAGATTATACATAACTACATTTATTGCTGTTAGCTCTGTATCAAGCTCTATTTGTAATTTTCCAGCTGTGAAAATGTTGCCTTGCATTTAGAAAGGTTTCATGATTCGGGGACCTAATGAAAATCGTTTTCATTAGGTGCTAGGCTGCATTTCTTTCTGTGCAGGATGCCCTTTCTTAGATGCGTCTTAAAACAAATGGAACTGCTGTCTTAACATGTTTACTGCTGCACTGGATGTTGATTTACACTTCCAGCTTTAAAGAAAAATTATTGTCCTATGTCAAGAAAGCTCATGCTTTTTTGCTCTTTATGTATCCATTACTGTTGTAGATATGATAGAGGCGTTAGCTGTGGGCTTTTAAAGCGCTCATATTTAAAGCATGTTGACTAACTTCCTCTCTTTGAAGTCCATGGTGAAGGATTATAGTGCTGCTGTGTTGATGATGGTAGATTTAAGGGTCTGTCAGCACTTTCGGTATGAAACCCTATATTCAGGGATTTATAACTTCTAAATGTAGATACAGTCACTGGAAGTATTTAATATGCAATAGGTAGCACTTTAATCTGTTAATGAAGGATTTTGAGGTTTTTTTCTGTTGAAGAAGTCACAGTCTCCTACAGCATGGTGGGCATTTGCTTTATCTTTCATAATTTGTACATTGAAGAAGCCACTGTATATTACAAATGGTAGACCCATTCCTATTCATCTTAGAAGCTTCCAGATGTCTTGTATTACAGTGTACCATAAAAAGCTGAAGATCCAGGTTATATAGGAAGCCTGTAAAAGATATGAACATTACTTATAACTTAAGGGTTGATTTCGTCTTGTGCAATCAATGGTAGTTTGTCTACATTTAATAATGGTACAGAATCACAACTGTATGCACATGTGAGAAGTATAAACTTAGAATGCATGAAAAGCTTTTATTTTTGTTTCATTAGTGCAACTTCAACTCCTTTAATTTGATTAAAATGTTATATTAATATTTTATTTTCTGTCCATTAAATATTGCATGTCTAACACTAATAAAGCACCACAATGCACTACCGACGTATTCCTTGAACTGTGATGTTAATCTGTGTAATGCAAACCATGTAACTCCCAAGCTCGGCTTAAGTATGTGTTTGTAGGAGCTGTGTTGTTAAGACTCCTGGACCAGAAAGAGGTGTATTTCCTTAAGGACAGCTCTAAAGCAATATCACTGTATGTTTGCAAGGTAACCATTAAGGGAAATCTCTTCAGTAGTGTCAAAACTTATAATTAGTGGGGAAAAAAAGCATGTTCTTAAGTATGTTTGGTTTTATATGACAGCTGCAGTCCCTATAAATGCACCATTCCTCCGATTGTGTGGTTGTGTAAATAGTACTGGGAGATCTTTGGCACTGCAGACCAGAACTGCATTTAGCATGAGGACAAACACTGTGCAAATTTGGATAGGGCAAACATGACGCGTATTTCTCTTCAGGCTTGACAGAATAAAACCCAGCTAGAATGACAGAAAACTGGAGCATTGTGCCTCACTTCCCTGTCCCATAGCTAGTTTTTAAAGTCCCTGCAACTTTTTCCCTTTTCTCAAGGAAAAAAAAAGGTTTTGCCCATCTTCTTTTCCTCTTCTTTGAGGCAGCAATCCAGCAAAGTCTGTCCCATGACAGTGACAGGTTTTCTGGATCCTAAGGAG